CTCGGACTATAAATTGTAATGCCATCTCCTCCTCCTATTTATAACATCACTGCCACCAGCATCACATAAGAGTACCTACTTCTAGGCCCCGCTGGAGCTTTAAGCACAACCTTTTCTGTGCATTTCAACAGAATTCTTCAAAAAGGAGTGCAGACAGCCACAAGCCGCTTAGTCAGTACTCTAAAATCGTTGAGCGTGGCCACTTCTATGCTCCAGCTATCTTCGCTTGCGTCGCTGCAAGCCTATGCCCTAAACCCTAAACATTCCATAAATTCCATAGCCAAAGCCCTTAGGCCCCTGAACTCAGTTGAGCTATAGTCTAAACTCCTTAAAGGGGGTTATATAGGGATTCTATAGGGGACTACTATAGGGGATATTAAGGGCGATACTAGGAGTTTAACCCAGACCCCTGGGAGGATCTAAAAATTAGATCCCCTATATAGACCCATTATAACCCCTATTTCTAGGGGATCGAATTTTTAGATCCCTTTGGGGGTCTGGGTACAGCTCAGTTCTCGCTATGAAGCCGAAGGAGGCCCCCGAGATCACGGAAGCAAGGAGCCCAGATTTGAAGCTTTGGCTGCAGCCCTGAAGCCTGTGGTGGTCACTTGGGGGCGGTTCTAGTCCCCCTTAAGTAGATAGAATATGGCTTTGGGTATATTATAATAAGATCCCCTTATACCCCATATTCTATCTAATTGAGGGGGTCATAGGGTTTAGGGTTCGTCACTAGGGTTTAGGGCTTAGAAGGGGTTATCACTGAGGGGAGTGCTTTTCCATGTCCCCATGTTCGGGTAGTTTCCACAAGAGGGGGGGACCCAATATAGACTCTCCGGCGCTAGAAGCCCTTTCAACGGTTCCTTCAATTTTCGGAGACCCCCATCATAGATCCCTATCAAATAACCCCTTTTAGGAATCTCAGGTCCTATTATTAAGGAGGGGATGAAGTAAAGCACCCGGGTCGCCCTCCCTAAGCCCTGTGAGTAGTGAGGTAGTTTACATTTGCGTGTCCATCCCTGTATATATCCCCATAGAACCCCATGTAGGTGTATCAGTAAATCCCCAGAATATCATTGCACCCACTACTATTCTTAGGTATTCCCAACATATACATTTCCATGTTTGTTTCGATTTGGTTTCTCCGCTACAGCGGGCTACCACCGTAAGCCCTTAAATTTCCCCTAGTCTCTATGTAAACCGGACTCCCTTAACCCGAAATCCTAAATCCCTAGTCCTTTGATCCCAATCCCCAATCCTTCACCCGAAAAGTCTCTAAGCCAAAATCCCAAACCCAGAGTCTGTGTTCCTTCAGACCCTAAGGTGGAAACCATGGGCCCCTAGTGCGGGCCCTTAGTTCTGGGATCCTCATTTTTTTGCACATATATGTATATATATGTATATATATATGTATATATACCGACTTTCTACCCTATATGTACCCTTAAAGGTCCCTAAGGGCCCATATTAGGGCCCATATGTCGAACCTCAGACGCCCAGGACCCTAAGGCCTAAACACTTTAAGTCCCCCTTAAGTAGATAGAATTTGGCTTTGGGTATATTATAGTAAGATCCCCATATACCCCATATTCTATCCCTAAACCCTAAACCCTAAATAGTAGTTTCCATTTTCTTTTCCATTATCCGAATATATACCCTATGTTCTATCTACTTAAGGGGGATTATACGTAGACGCCCAGGACTCCCTCCAGTGGCTCTGCCGCTGGCGAGGATCCCGGAGACCTGGGGCCTTCGGAGTCTGCTGAGGGCGCTGGGCGACAGAAAAGCCAGGCACGGAGGGGGTTTGGGTGTATATATATGTATATATATGTATACATATACATATATATAAGGGTTATGTAGGGCTAGAAGGGATTTTATGGGTATGGGGATTTTGGGAGGATATTGTACCAAGATCGGAGACTCAAAGGGGAAAACAAAATCGGAAATGGGGTCATATAGGGCTTTCTGGAGGCTAGCCAGGGGATAATCCTGGGGCTAGAAGAGTAGGGTTTTCGGGCAGGCTAGGAATGCAAAAGAACACTGTGGCACAATTTTATTAGAGGTTTACAAGTAGATCAGCACGGACACATCCCGAAGCCTAGTATTTCATGGTTGGGGCTACCTAGGGGTCCAACCCTGAACCCCTAGATAGGAATCCTGGACAGGCAGAGGTCAGAGCTACTGAAGGTTTAGGGTTTACGGGGTTTAGGGTTTTGGGAGATGTAGGATGGTTCAGTGCTTGGGATTTGGGGGTCAAGCGTTTGCGAAGTCAAGTTTGTCAAGGTTTGCTGCTTGAGGGTTTGGAGTTGTCACTGGCAGGTTGCTTTGGGGTTAGCAATACTGGAACGCTACACGCACACGCACCAGATAAAGTCATTGCAGCGAAGCGCTCCAGTTTCGTAGAGACCGATACTATTGTAAGGTTTGTTATAAGGATATGCATAATCTTTTGGGCTCACGGCCTCACGCCTAGCGCTGGGCATCATTCCTCTGGCGCTCAAACAGCTCTTTCCTCAGACATCAAGCGCGAATTCCACCGTACCTTTTGCACAGTACATTACCGTCTGAGGATCCCTAGACGAATCGGATTTCCAGGAGCACTTTGACGGGCTACAGCTGTATACATAATGTGTAGGTATGTACTTTAATTTGCAGGTGGTGATCGAATAAGGGCTGAGACTTCTGCCATATGCCTCACCGATGCAGCAAGCAAGGCCTCGTCAAGAAAAGGAGGAAGTACAAAGGTGACCATGAAAGGCTTTGGATGTGAATGTTTATGTGTGTGTGTTGCATCCCTGCATGAATTGTTGTTTTCAATCCGCTGCGCCAGATCCCGTCGAGCTGTGATTGTCGGGGTCCACTGCTACTCCAAGTGCGGAGTGAAGCGGTCAAAACAACAGTCTCCTCTGGGTTAAGTTTAGGCTTTGAATGCTTGCTTGAGGGCTTCCAAAGGTTAGGGCCTGCCTCTTGGGTCCTCTTAAAGGAGAATACTGGACAAGTATTTGAGGTAGCCTTATTATTCGTGCCCTTCACCATTTACAATGTCCAAGAAAGGTGCTGATTCAGGCAAGCCCTGCCTCAAACTGGAGGTCCTGCCCGCTGTCCCGGAGGGCGAGATTTCCGTGTTCCTGAAACTTGGCTTGACCTTTTGGAGGTTCATGGGTAGTTCTAGGTGGGTGAAAAGAAGGCAGCCTCGTTGCCAACTTCTTCTGACCCACTTATTTTGTAATCCAAGAAATATCACTATGCATGCGCAATGAAGCTACAGGAACTAGCAACTGCCCCTTCACAATCAAATGCCCTCTCTGCCTCCGTACATGGTTTGCATCGAGAGAGTGGGTGAGAGAGAGAGAGAGAGCGAGTCCTGCAGCTGGCCAACCGTGCCAAGCTGTGCCCTGAGTCTTACAGCTCCCTGGTAGGATCGAGAATGGCCACTATAGAGCGCCCAAGTTCATCTTGTGCGGGTTATCTTACTTTGGGTCCATGCTCATGGGGAGTACCGACCAGCACCGGGACTCGCGCGGGTGCAGGGCTGGGCCCCCGAAAACCTGTAGAGCCTCCTAGCACCTTGAGAAGAAGAGCGAGCGAGCTAGATCACCGGCTCTCCTTTCAGGAGATAAGACCGTTTGTCTGTGGCGCGGCTTGCTTAACAGCCTCGTTAAGGGGCGACCGTATTCGAAGTTTATATAAAGCATGGCTTTTCGCCTGCCAGTGTCTGACGGCGAAGGGCAACTTTGCTTATCAAACAGCTCCACCCAAGCTGAAATTCAGGAATGTTCGCAACATGAACAACCAGAGCAAGCTGTACAACGAGGGCTACCGTTCCTTGGCGCACTTCTACTTCGACTGACTTGTTCGCTTGACTTTGGAATTGCGTCGCTTCACTCGCGTCATTCGCATCGCAGCACAGCACAAGATGCAATCATCTAGAATGGCAACGATGGCTGCATCCGTCATAGCAGCAGTAGCATGAAACTCACGAGTTGCTTGCTAAAGTCCGACGAAATGTGGAAGATTGTTTCAAGTGCCTGTATCAACGTTGCGAACTGTGTGCGAACCAGTCTGCTAGCTGGAGCATTCACAATAGTTTTGATCGTTGTTGTTGTTGTTGCTGCAACGGTTACAATGGTCAATCTTGCCACACGTGTTTGCCGCACCCGGCCTCGGTTGTGATTGAAGTGCTGCTGATTTCCGCAACAGATGAGCAGAATATACTCTAGTAGTTTCCATTTTATTCACCATTATCCCTATATTACCTACCCCAAAACCCCAATATAACCCTAATATACTCCCTATAAATCCTAGGCATAAGCAGCCAAGGTCCCTGGTTCAAAGCACCAGGTGGTCCCTGGCAGCGCTTGCAAGACTCACCCTTGCTTGCCTTCTCCTGTGCCAAGAAGGCAGCCACCATAGGGATTGGGTTTAGGGTTTAGGGTTTAGGGCACTATTTGAGCTATGGTCTAAACTCCTCAAAGGGGGGTTATATAGGGGATTATATAGGGGACTACTATAGGGGATATGAAGGGGATACTAGGAGTTTTGATTATAGCTCATTTGTTTGCAGTACGTTGGTCCTGTACAGAGGGTACTGAAAACTATGGATCCATTCATTTTCGAGCCATGAGCTGACATAGCTAACTTTATGTGCTCCTTCTGCTTTGCGCATGAGACCGAACAAGAGCAGTCCCTGAACCTTCATGAACTCCCGAACCCTGAATCCTAAACAGCCTGGGCCTTCGTTTGAGAGATCCTGCAGGGTTTAAGGTTTGCCCGGCTATGTAGCTAGCCGTCGACCATTTTCTTCACAAGGAAAGAAGCTGTGACAGAGTAACGGGATCTAGCCATGACGATCGCGCGCTGAAATCCAAAACCCTTATGCCTAAACCCATATGGGGTTTTCCAAAAACCCGAGACGTCCACAATTAGCAGTACAATTTATGTGGGGTCTATATCACATTAGCCCCCGACTTGTGGAACACCCCATGATATTACCCCCTCCCATGCAGGCGGATGGCTTCTCCATCCGATGGCACCACCATTCACGCCGCGGGGCAGGGACAACTTACTACGCCTTCTGCGCGCCATACAGCTGCCGGCCTGCCGAGTGCAAGCTTTATTTACTTTACAGTTATTGGGATAATCTTGGGATAATGGAAAAGGGAACTATAGCATACTGGGGCTTTATAGGGTTTAGGGTTTCGAACTTGGGCTCTCTTTTTGGGAGTACTCGTAATAAGAAGGACGGTAGCATTTTTAGGGCTAATTGGCAACCCCCTTTTTATGGACACTGCCACCCGGGCCTCATCAAAATGATAGGTTCTGGTTTGGCAGCACATAGAACAAGGACACATTCTTCCTCCTGTAGGCAAGGCTCATGATTGGAAACATGGTTTACCAGATTTAGGGTGTGGGAATAAGGCCAAAAAGTGTGGACAAATCAGCTGATTCTGTGCACGTTATTGTGAGATCCAGACTCAGGAATGTTGCACATGAGGGGGTTTAGGATTTAGGGGCTAAGACGTCTAATTCGGTTGCGTTTGGTTTCGCAGCCTAACGAGCGCGGGACACAACCTGTCCCCATAATAGAATGTTTCCGAGCCCCGGGAATTTGTTTAGTTCGTACAGGGGCTGATCACAATTCTGGGGGAAGAGATGTTCCTAGACCCTCCTCCTACCCTCTATTAGGGCCTAAGTACCTACTATTAGGGACCATATCTCCCCAATTAAGGGTACAAGGAGGGTCCTGGTTGTTAGAGGCAAGTACGGGGGACATTTATTTAAGGAGTGACTGCTCGAAGTTGGCCGTCCGGGAGCGTAAGTACAGTAAGTAGGTTACTACTATCTTATAATAGGGTATATATGGGGGTTATATAGGGATAATGGAAAAGAAAATGGAAACTACTATTTAGGGTTTAGGGTTTAAGGTTCTGTCAGTTTTTGTTAGGTCATGCTGCCACAAAATCCCTGCATAAACCCTAGTTGCCAGCTCATTTTCCGTTTGATCCTCCGTCATTCCTCTATACCCGTACAAGCCTGCTGTTAGAAAGCCCCAAAGAGTGAGAGCTTGTATTCGCAGATTGTCAAAGGGGGCCGGTTCAAGGGGGGAAGGCAGCCTAGCCATCTCGAGTACTCCTGCATCTAAAGGAATTGTAGTAGGCAATGCTTTCTTTTCAAGAAAGCTGAAAACTTCGAAATGCAGCTCTATGGTTTGCTTTTTTTCAGGTCTACTTTCGCGTATCTCCCAAAAAAGATTTGGATGCAGCTGATCAAGGAGACTCGCGTTATTATGGGTTGGGCACGGATGCTGTGGTTTTCAAATGCTACGAACATTAATGTTATTCTTGAATGCACTCGAAAATGAGCGTTATTGTGGTTTGGGCATGGATGCTCTGGTCTCTGGTTAGTTAGAGAATGGAATCCAACTTGAACGTTATTCTAGGGCATGGATGCTCTGGTCATCGAACGCATTCGAACTTGAGCATTATAATGGTCTGGACATGCTGTCGAATGCCCTCGGACATGAACCTCATTATGATTTGGGCATGGGTGCTATGGTCATCGAATGCGATTGACGGCATGGATGCTTGGTTATAGAATGCGATGAGCGTGAATGTCATAGTCCTGCATTGGGCATTGATGCTAAACTGGGGTGCGCTCGAACATTCGTCGATGCGGCCACAAAGACCTCAAAAGTGCGGCTTTACATGTGGTTAGTAGGCTTAATCAACATCATGGGAGCACCGTTGGTAGGGCGTCCCAAACCTTGAGAACCACTGCAGGCTATTTGGATTGCCTGGGGCTCCTCGAGGAGTTGGAGGACTCCAGATATTGGCGACATGGGCCATGCGCTGCTGATGGCAATTCTTAGTGTCCGAAACTAAGAAAAATCAGGTTTCCCAGTAATCCTAATTTTATGACGGTTAATTAGATGCCTTGGGTGTATCATGGTAATGTTAACCAATGTGGAGGCGTATTCCCTCAAACGATCCCATGTTCTTTGCTTTGGTATGCAATATTGGCTGCAGCTTCTGCTTCCGCATGTGCAGACGGATGTAGAAATTTCCCCATGTATGGACAGTGGTGCGATTTGGGATTATCTCGGGGAGCATGTGCAAGTTGAGAAGTTGAAAATGCCTGTTCCAATGGCCAGACAGCAAGTTACCTTTTCAGTAAGGTCCTTTCTTGAGGCGCTACTTTGACCTCTTCCGCTTTTCCCAAAGAGATTTACCAAGAATCCCAGCAGAGCAGTCGCATTGCAGAGACTGAAGAGTTTCCCTACTCATTTGAAATTCCGCTTGGAGGTTGATGGGTGGCTATGTATTCTCCGCTTATCACTACCCGTGAAGCTTTGGCCGGACATGGCACAGCTTGAGTCAGGTAGTGACTTCCGAAATCAGGGGCTGATGTAAAGACCCCTGACAATCAGGAATTTCAAGAGCTAGGGGATGCTTCTTTTGAGCATTTCTTGCAGAGCTGAAAAGATTGTGGAAGCCATTGGACTTCCGGAGGTTAAAGTCGGGATTTCCAAAGACTTTCAAGCATGCGCTCACTGTGGAACGATTTAGGCAAACTTCCATGTGGCCAGCGCCCTAGTGGCCCGAGGCGAAGACTCCTCCGTAAAACGCCCTACGCCCTCGAATCCCTCTAGTGGTCTCTCTCTCTCCCTCCCTCTTTTGGCCGTCGCAAGGTACAGCAAAATCGGTTCTTGATCCAAGCCCCAAAGCCTTGCCCTGAAATCCCCACATCCTTCCCCTTATGCCTTTTGAAGGACAGCTTCAGCGACACGGACTCGTGGTCTGACCCCTGCCGGCCGCTGCGAAATCTGTCCCGATCACTGTCTGAGAGCCTCGGCTGAAGTCCACCCTGAGTCATTTGAGCTATAGTCTAAACTCCTTAAAGGGGGTTATATAGGGGATTATATAGTGGACTACTATAGGGGTTATTAAGGGGGATACTAGGAGTTTAGACTATGGCTCATTTGTTTACTTGGGTGATACTTGGACATGCTGATGCTAATTTGCCTTCTTGTTCTAGGAAGATAATAAGGGAAACAATAGTCCCCCTTAAGTAGATAGAATATGGGGTATATGGGGATCTTATTGTAGTATACCCAAAGCCATAGTCTATGAAGATAAGAGAACCTATTCCTAAAGAACTTGGGCTGCTTTTGTAGTACTACCCCGCCACTGCTCTTCTTGACCGTTTGAGGAGTCCTGACAACAGCTCTGCTATGCGTTGGGGACAGCATAGGGTTTAGGGTTTGGGTTTAGGGTTTTAGGGTTTAGGGAGCACATTTTCTCAGAATTCGGGTCACCCTCGAAAATTAGTACTTGGCAGGATATTTGGTACCCAAAGGTCTAGAACTTGCGACAGCTTTTTTCGGTACAGCCCAGGGCTAAACCCTGAACCCTAAGCCCTAAACCCCATTTAGGGTATGGGATTCGCTGAGCCTGCTTTAAGAGCAACGGCCAGTCCGGTTACATCCAGGTGGCATTCATAAGAAGCCTGCTGCCAAAAAGGCTTCATTATGAAACCCCACGAGACAACGGAATACGCGGAGTCCAAACCAAAGCCCGCCCTACGCCTGCAGCCTCCCCTGAGGATATGGCTTTTCTATAATTAGGGGGTGGCGTTTGTTTTATTATGGAAGGTAACTACGTAGTTCTCAGTTTCCGGATGAGCTGTAATTAGCAGGAATCTCGGAAGGCCCCTCTGTTTTGATTTTTGCTGGATGGAAGCTCGTAATTATGATGTGGTACCATGGTCATGGGGGTTTGGGTAACCAAAAGCCCCTTATCCCACAACGCACCTTTGAGATGGGCCTTTAGTTCAGGAGGACTGAAGTTTGCGGACCGCTCCAAAGGTAGGTTTCGGTGCGGGGAATCAGGTCGTTTCCATGAATCGCAGGACCCCAATATAGACCCAAAAATACTATAGTCCTTGTTATAGGTGCCCCCAAAACCGCACCCCTAATTTTGGGAGACTGTCATGTGTAGGTCCGGGGAACGGAACGAACTGGAGCGCTCTACTTTTCATAGCGAAGAAGGTTGTGATCAGACAAGGGGAAGTGGTATCTTTCTTGTTATCAGGTGGGGACACCTGTGTTGTGGATAGAGGGACACAAGTACTTTAAGATGTAAGTGACTGGACTGCATTTTCTGCCCCTTACAGACATGTCAAATCCTCTGCTAAAGACCGCAAAGAAGGCTCTTCGCCAGAAACCTTTCTCAGAACTCAGCCGCTATCCCTGATGCTATAAACCCCAGAATCCCAGTTTCCATTTCATGTTCCATGTTCTTTTCCATCTAATTCTCCTTTATAAACCTAGCAATACCCCAATATAACCCCTACATAAACCCATATAACCCTTATATAAACCCATAATATAAACCCTATATAACCCCTATACAAACCGATATAACCCCTACATAACCCATAAAACCCTATACAACCCCTATGTGGCCTTCCCGCCCAGCTTAGGAGCTATTTGCCTCGGGCCGGGCATGGGATCTACTTGCGGAGGCCGCTGCTCCAATTTTGTTGCCCTAAGTGGCTATAGTCTAAACTCCTTAGAGGGGGGTTAGAAAGGGGACTGCTATAGGAGTTACTAAGGGGGCTACTAGGAGTTTAGACTATAGCTCAAGTGGCTGTAGCGCAGATGCCATGATCTGCAGCCCTAATTGGCTAGCATAAGCCGCCCGGACATTGCAGACGGAAACAAAAGCCAGAAAACCCTAAGCAAACATAAGCCCTATAAACCCTACAGGCCCTTCAAACCCTTAACCCTGAAAAACCTATAGTCCCCCTTAAGTACTTAGATAGAATACGGCTTTGGGTATATTATAATGAGATCCCCACACAACCCATATTCTCTCTAAATAATTAACGGGGACTATAAACCCTAAACCCTACCTACTTAAGGGGGACTATAAGCCCTTTATTGCGCACCCATGAAGATCAAGGCAGCTACTCCACCGGTCGCTGCAGGGTCGCCGAGTCGATCTCCTTACCATCACGAACCTCCCGCCGTATCCTGCTGTAAGGGAGTTACAGGAGGGGAGTTACCGTGCAGGGACCGTATATAAGCCTTGTATACCCAATATGCAACCCCATTGTCCCTATATACCCGGTCTCGCCCTGATTCGGAAACTAAAAACCATGATTCGGAAACTAAAACCTTAATTCGTAAACTAAAAGCCCTGATTCCGAAACGAAAAAACCTGATTCGGAAACCAAAAACCCTTGATTCGGAAACTAAATGCCTTGATTCGGAAGCTAAAAGCCTTGATTGCAAACGATCTAAACCCCTGATTCGGAATGCAAGATCTTACCCCACTCCCCACTCCCCCCTCCAGCCAAGCCCCACCACCACCCCTCATGGCTTCGAGAAGTGTAGTATCAGTTTAGTTTCTGAATCGGGGATTTTTTTAGTTTGTGACTCGGTGGTTTTAGTTTCCGAATCAGGGGTTTTAGTTTCTGAATCGGGGATTTTAAGTTTCTGAAGCGGGGATTTGTTGTGTCTGAAGCGGCGATTGTAGTTTCTGATTCGGGGTTTGTTCCTATATACCCTTTAACTTATATACCCATTGTATAAAGTCCCCTTAAGTCAGGATTATGGATTTGCCCATAGTTAGGTCACTGGCTCTGATCTATGGGACTCATATAGGGTTTATGGGGTTCCGGGGTACTTTAGAGAAGGTATGGTTGAATGTATAGAGCTCAAGGCCAAGATTGAGGATTTTTGGTTTCGGGCTCAATGTTTAGGATTGCAAGCCACTTTTGGGCCTAGACAGCCCTCACAATTAAGCAGTTACCTTTGGTTCTTCTATGGGGCCATGTCTGGTGGTTGGTTATGTAAAGGCTGGGTGCGCGCGGTTCTTAGCTTGACTTGCAGCGATCGCGTATCTAATCCCAGGATTTAGATTTAGATTTTACCTGGCAACTGTTTTGGTGAGAATTCGTTGAACACACTTGGAAACTTCGCTGGCCATGGATCATGTGAGAAGTTGAAAAGAGTAGTTTTAGAACGTGTCGCGCATGCAATCGCGTTTTATGCTCGCGTGGAAAGAGAACTGGCAAAATATCTTAAGCCGCGTTAGCCATGTCGAGGGCGACGCACCCTTAGAGGTTCGTCCGGATTTGTTTAGACGTTGTCCTGGCTACCTCCAACTATTTATCCCACATCTTCGGGGGCCTTCCTCAAATATGGATCTGCACAGTCTATGGTTGTGTCTAGGGAAGTACCGGTTGAGCAACCTTTTGCGGACTGCAATGCCAAGTATGCAGGGCGCTGTGCACAAGTTTCAGTGTGCTTTAGGAAAGCCCAGTGTGCGGTTCGCATTCTTTGCGGTGAATAGAAGGGACCCATGTCAATGTTGAAGCAACGATAGAGTGGTATGAGCTGCACAGGCTCCAAAAGCGCACCTACATGGATGAAGGGGCTTTGGTTAGCCCAGCTATAATGAGGACCTTGCAACAATCACCTCAATGTGATAGTCATGCGCCCTCATTGTAGGCATGGGGGTTGTTGGGGCAACCCAAATTCTGCTACTATAAATGACCTGATTTGGGTCCTTGAGGGCTAGGAAGTGCCGAGCACATGCAGCGCTGAGGCACGGCTACATAGAGGACTTGGACGTGCCTCCTCAGGACCTTCTCTATCCACAGAGTGACCTGCCGTTGAAGTTTCCGGACCGGCCTATTGTCTTCATCTCTGCGCGGGTCCACCCAGGTGAGACGCCGGGGCAGTTCGTGTTCCTGGGTGCTTTGCGTTTCATTTTGTCGGATGACCCGCGGGCGGTGAAGCTGCGAGACCGATTCGTTTTCAAGATGGTGCCTATCCTTAATCCGGATGGGGTCGCCTGCGGCCACTACAGGACCAATAGCTTGGGACTCAACCTGAACCGTCACTATGACAAGCCCAACCCAAAGGAGCACGAAGGGGTGTGGGCCACGAAGCGCATTCTGAGCCATTGGGCCCGGCAAGGTCGCCTTCTTGTCTATTTGGATTTACATGGCCATGCTTCCAAGAGAGGTTGCTTTCTGCTTGCCAACCGCCTGGTTGGTCCTGGGCAAGGCTGGAATGCGGGCTTCGCTCGTCTTTGCCAGATCAATTCGCCCTACTTCGATTTGGAGTTGTGCGAGTTTGGGGAGGCAGATGATGCAGAGAAAGAGGGTAAGGATGGGATGTCTAAAGAAGGCTCGGGGCGAGTGGCCGTCTACCGAGACTGCAAGCTTTGCAACGCCTACACCCTGGAGTGCAATTACAACACAGGTCGCTATTCGCGGCCCATGGTGCCTCCGAGGGGCTCAAAGTTGCTTGATGGCAGTGTTCATGCCAACGTATTTTAAAAGGTTTGCAATCCAAAAAACTCTATTAGTCCCTGCATTTTCCAAGGCTGTTAGAGGAGTCGCCTGGCTGCTTCGTGACGACAGAGGATGGAGCGGGGGGGCCTTGACACTGCCCGTTTGCACTATTCGGGTTTCTTGAGATCAGTGGTTATTGGGGTTCCTCAGTTCAAAAGTGATGCTTGTGGCTTGCTTGGGGTAGGACGGGAACCTTCACGTGAACAGACCCAGCTATGAAGCTGTCAAATGCACGACTGTGTCAATGGTAGGCTACACGCGCAAGTTCCCGGGGCCCTGAGGTGTGTGTGCTGTACTGTTAGGGGCTGCAAGGCTGTAAATAGCTCCAGCCTTGCACCCTGGGAAGTCGCAGCAGCCAATCCAAGCCTGATGCAGGATCCTATTCCCTTCACGCAGAGCTCATGGGGGCAGGTCGGCGAGGCGGCGTGCATCAGCATCTTGGATTTGTATGGCCATAACTGCCACAGCCGGCTTCCTAACACCCGGCAAGCCAGTTTGCGGGGTTTGCTTGGCCAGACGATCCGCCCACGCACCGGAAGAACCACCAGGGTCAAGGATGTCCTTCCCAACGGCGTTGGCTTAAGCATTGACGACATTGCTGCGAGAGAGCGGTCTTGTCGAGGTGCCTGCGGTTGGCACGAAGGCAGGGAGAAGGACAAGGACGTCCCACCCACTATTCCAAAGGCCAGCCGACTGTCTTCGAAGGAGCCAATCCGGCCAACCTCAAAGGCAGGCAGGAAGCCCAGTAAGCAGGCAGAGGGTGAGAGCGACGTAGTGCAGTCTTCGAAGTCAATGCGCGAGGCACGTGAGGTCCGTGAGGTGCGGGAGCTGCTGCGGCAGGAGGACTTACCAAGTAGGATGAGGTCCTTGAGACCTGACCCAGTCCCTTCGCCAAGCCCGGAACAGAAGGAGCAAAAGCCGAGTCCTGTGGAATCGAAGGCGCAGAGGTCTCGTTCCCTTGATCTTCGGCGTGGCCAGTCCAGGGTGGAGCGTCTTCCCTTGGCACTGTTGCGTGCTGAGACATCTGACTCGAAGAGCCGGGATGGGAAGTCTGGGAAGGAGGCCGCGGCAAAGGCCTTGCCACGTAACTCCATGCAGCTTGTGCGGCCTCAGCGCAGGCGAACGCACTCGCTGGAGGCCAGTCAAGGGATCCCCAAAACAGACTTGGGTGCCAAAGTGCGCCCACAGCTCCTTCTTGAGATTTCCACTCGCACAGGAGCTGCTGTGACCGTAGGAGCTTGTTAAATGCAGGCTGACCTTTGAAAGGTATTGAAAAGTGCTGAATCTGACATTTTCCGGGTACGTGCCACGAGTGTGGTCCCTTTTCTTCCGGGAGTTTGTGCTAGTTCGGGGACTGGCTGTATGCGAGCTCTAGAGGGACCTTCACTCTGGCAAGACCCGGCTGATAGTGAAATTGGTAGTTCGATTACCCCGCCGTGTATCTTGTTGCGGCTACGCCGCAAAGCGGTTTAAAGTCTCTGATGGAAAGACCTGGGCGGACAGCAAAGTATTGCCAACCGTTTCGCCACTGCTGCTTTTGATGCGGCTTCACTTGGCGGACTGATTCTTGAGTTCTTCCTGTAGTTTCCTGCCGATTTTGTGTTTTATATTCTTCTTATAGGATAATATCCCAATACGTCAAACCAAAATATTACAGGTCTGGGGGGGTTATCGGTTCTTTGAAGGCGAACTCCAGGACTCTTCCCTTGGCCAGAGAGGAGACAAGACCAGCAGTGACATGGAAATGGTTTCCGGATACAAATGGGGTTTCCTAAAATGACGGGTGTACCGTCTTGGGGGTCCCCAGAATAAGTGTTATAGTATTTTTGGGTCTCTTTTGGGGCCCCCTTTTTGGGGAAGCTACCCAACGTGGGGTCCTGAATACAGGCAAGTTGGCGTTTCTCGCAAATTCTCTTGTGTACCTCAAATAGGGCCACCATAATTCTGCTGCTAATCGCCATGCTTAGTCCTGAAGCAGGCTTTTACCAAGTCTTTGCATCCAGATCGCCCAGCACTTCAGGACCAGATATGGTAGTTTCCCAAANNATCGTAGTTTCCCAAAATGGGGGGACCCAATATAGACCCCCAAAAAATATAGTCCTTAATAAGGGGGCCCCCAAAATGGTACCCCTAATTTTGGGAAACCCCCAAGTTGGTGTAAACATGACTGGACAGTAGTCAGGGTCCAGACCCACGACATCCACAACGCCTCGCAAACAAGGTGTCCAGCAAGTTCACGTCAGCACGGAAACAGGTGCAAAGCAGCAGCCGCCACAAAGCCCACACTACAGTAGCAGCTGAAGAAGCTGCAGCAGGAGGAGAAGCAGTATTGATGGTCTTGTGGATGCCGTAGTATATCGTGGTGGTAGTAGTCGTCGTAGTAGCAGGAGGAGGAGGAGGGGCAGTCGTGCAGTTTGTCAATCCGTGTTTGGTGTCAATAGTCGCGATCAATGATAACAAGATGAGCAGGTGAAGCGTCCTTCTTCATTATGAAGGCATGTGGATCCTCAAGCCAGACAAGTGTACGGGTTGTCAGTAGGGAATAAGCGTACATAATCATATAATCCCTGTATAATACATTCCCTCATTCTCTACTATACCCCGATATATACCGGACCCTATTATGATATAGCAGTTTCAATTTTCTTTTATCTCTATATAATCCCAATATCTTCCCTTCTTCCCTACGAAACCCTAAACCCTCCAGAAAAGGTCCGATACAAAATAAAAAACAAACCCACCACCTCCCCCCTCCCAAAACCCTAAACCCTTATTCCCGACTAACCCCCCTCCCAAAACCCTAAACCCTTATTCCCTACTAACCCCCAGTAGTCAAGGTTGATGGAAGCCGAGAGACGGGCACCTGCAGCTGCGGCCCTGAAGGGGGAGGCATGCCTCGCAAACGGGGGTTTAGGGGTTTAGGGTTTGGGGGTTTAGGGGTTTAGGGTTAGGGGTTTTAGGGTTTAGGGTTTTGGGGGTTTAGGGTTTAGGGTTTACGTAGGGGTTTTAGNNGGTTTAGGGTTTTGGTGGTTTAGGGTTTAGGGTTTTTAGGGTTTAGGGTTTAGGGGTTTTAGGGTTTAGGGGTTTAGGGTTTAGGGGTTTAGGTCCTCTAGGGTCTGAGCAAGCAGAATGGATACAATGGGGCACTACCCCTCTGGATCACGTTCCATAGTGAGCCATCTGATTGTTTCAAGAGATGGGTTGTCCTTTTGTAACTAGGAGTTCATGAAGGGGGATACTAGGAGTTTAGACCTTTGGCTCATATGAGGGGAACCTGGGTCTACGTTTGGAAGCATGCTTGTCTTGTCTGTTTTAAGCCTGGCTAGATTGTAACGTCCATCATCTCCTGCACCGCAGCTTGGAACCAGAATCGTATGCTGGCCCCGTCCCGGCAGTCCTAGGGTTCTCATGTAGTGGTTTTGTCGCACCAGAAGATTCACAGGCAAATTTGAAGCTTGTCATTTTGAAGGTGAGCTTCTTGCGGGACACCTGCAACCGCTCCGTTTTCAGCAGATTGTACGAGGCCTGTGACCATCAGGGCAGCAGGGAATCACCTCTTGCTCCATTGCAGAGTTTGGGGGGTTCCACCTTCCTTGTAGGTATAAACCCTAAACCCCAAACCCTAAACCCTAAACCCTTAAACCCCTAAACCCCAAACCCTAAATAGTAGTTTCCATGCCTTTCAGGAGACTTGTTTCTTGTTTTTACGGATTCAGATTTGCCTAGCCTGTCGGGCAATACAAGTTTGATCTTGGTTTCCACTACCTGTCGGGTTTAGGGATTAGGGTTTAGCGTCTAGGGTCTACGGTCTAGGGTTTGGGACCTGTGCTTGCTAGGAGTTCACTGGTCCGTAATTGGAGGGTCAGGGCGACTTAGTAAGTAATATGTTGTACAGTATATTTAGAGTCCCTCTAAAGCCAAATTTTGAATTATTTCATGGCCCCATGCTCAGACCACCAAAAGGATGAGAAGAACAATCAAAACGACTTCCTGTTTCGAGCTCCGTACTTGGATGCAGTCCTTTCCGCCTGGTATTGAAAGCCGTCTTGGATCCCAATGCTAAGTGGGTCTCGTTAAGTCACTCGTTGAGTGTGTGCAGGGAATATCTGATCCGTTCATACTAACGTTAACCGCCCCCAACCCCACTATCAAACATACCCCCCAGCATGCAAGATCTCTTATGGGGAATATGTGGAATACTTGATATTGGAGGTGGGGGGTGTTTGATACTATTTTAGCATATGAAGGGAATACTTTCGTCAGTATCGCTTGCCATGGTACTCAAATTTCTCCTGGTGTCTCCGATGCTTCAAATAAAACCCCGCGCTTATGAACTTCCAGATAGGAGGCATGGCCCCTAGGAATCTCAAGAGCAACAGGATGCCGTGCGACGGTCGGATCCGGATCAGCCCGAGGGGACGTGGCGTGCTGAGCAAGTTGGTTTAGTAAAGAAATGGTTCCGCTTGCAAGGGAGTTTGATTCTCACCTTGGAGCACCCAAAGACAGGCTTAGACTAAACGTCTCCCTCTAGCTGCTTCAATGATTCTGTCGGTAATGTTGATGGCGTGTTACATCGGAAGCTCCAGAAGGGTTCAGGCACACAATTTCCAATGTTCCTGACCACGTTCCTCAAGATTCCTTGTCCACTTTGAGTCCGGCATCCAGTAGAGTGGGCTGAATTTCACTCTGGACAGACGTGTCAGCTATCCATGGACAATCCTCCATTGGCAAAAAGATAGACCTTTAAACTCTGCAACAGCAAAGTCACAAATCCGATACAATTAAGAGATTCTAGAATCTCCACAAGTCGGTTGCAAGGCTACCGTCCAGAGTCCAAAGCTTTCAAAAACCTGAAGCACCGAGATTGCAGCACGCGAGATCTTGGGCACAGCGCTCGAAGCTACACGCTTGCTGTGCTTTGTGAGTGTTGGTTTCAGCTTTAAGGGTTCGGGGTTTGGAAGTCGAAGGTTGGATTTGTGGACTGCAGGCTTGTACGGATTTGGTTTGTGCTTGTTATTGTGGGTTCGAAGATCACAGGCTCATACATCTAAATAGGCTTGAAATAATTCCGGTTTGAGACTCTTATGTGACCTACAATTTTAAGGGTGAGGTCTGGCAAAGTCATTGTAGTTTTTCCGCACTCGGAAAGGATGAGGAATGATTCCGTTTAGAAGCCACCATCTCATCGCCAGGAAGGAAGGCTGGCTGATGATAATGGGTAAGAAAGGGTTTAGGGTTTTTAGGGTTTAGGGTTTAGGGTTTAGGCTTTATACATTCAGAGTCTGGGTTGAAAAAGGCTTTATACATTAAAGTTGACTCAAGCTACCCGGTCGCTCTTGAATAGTTGATCGGGGCTTATTTGCGCTGAGGCATCAATTCTTAGCCAATAGAGGAACCTGGGCCTTCTTGGGCTTCCTTTTTGGGTCTCTATAACGAAACTTAAACTTTTTTAGCCCTGGTCATTTGGGAAGAGAGAATTGTTGGGAGCAACCCCATCCTCAGTCCATGTGTAGTATTTTAGTTGGGAATACTATGGTACCCAATCTCGATTGTATCCTCCTTTTGGCTATAGTATTTTATATAAGGAAGATTATCTTACTCCACCAAAAAAACACCATTCATGTGAGCTATAGTCTGAGTTCCTAAAATCCTCCTCAATAATCCCTGATGTCGGACCCGCTTTTGCTCGGCTAGCCGCTTTTGCGTCAAGTTTCGGGGAATTATTGAGGACCAGCATGGGGCACCCGCTATAGTATCAAGTTCGGGGGGCCAAAATGAAGATTTGCAGGCTTGAAAACATGAATCATTTAGTTTTAATTAGTAGCTATTCTTCATCAAATAAGGTCAGAGCTTCAGGGTACCAAATTCCTAAAAATTCTAATGCCAAACTGTTAAATCTATTGCTGCTGCTACTGCTACTACTACTACTACTACTACTACTACTCCTACTCCTACTACACTATTACTAATACTAATATTACTAATACTAGTACTAACACTACTAATACGTAAATACCATGAGGATTCAACTCAGACCCTCAAACAATTTGATTCAGGACGACGACGAAAGTATCCGTCCCATGATTCCCTGTATATGCTTATATACATACACATGTATGCACAGGCACATCCTTTTTTTTCTGCATCTGTATGTTTGTATGTACGTACGTACGTATGTATGTATGCACGTATGTATGTACAGATAGGTTTGCATGACTGTATGGAAGCCCGTAGGGCAGCGCCGG